GTGAGCAGGGGGCGGGAGCTTGGAGGCCCGGACTCAGGCACAGGCCTGGCACTTCTCTTGCAGCCGAGGAGTGGCTTCCTGCCAACAAGGAGCCCGTGGAGCGCTGTGGCTTCACGGTCAAGGATCTCCCAACCGGAGCCAGAATCCTCTTCCGCGTGGTTGGGGTCAACATTGCAGGTCGCAGTGAGCCAGCCACCCTGGTCCAGCCGGTCACCATCCGGGAGATTGTGGGTGGGTGACCCAGCCCTCCTAGAACCCAAGTCAGTGACATCCCATCTGCCCTGGCTGGGTGGTCACCAGGGCCTCCCCCAGACAATCTCACCCATTCTGTCCTTCAAATAACCCCTCGGCCGTGCACTGAGCCTCCACCTGGGTCTTACCCTCAGAGCAACCCAAGATCCGCCTCCCGCGCCACCTGCGCCAGACGTACATCCGCAAAGTGGGCGAGCACCTCAACCTCGTCATCCCCTTCCAGGTGCCCGGGCTGGGGCGGGACGGGCGGCTGCGGTGGCCCCACGGTGCTGCAGGCCCCTGACCCGCTGGCCCGCTCCCCCAGGGCAAGCCCCGGCCCCAGGTGGTGTGGACCAAGGGCGGAGCCCCCATAGACACCTCGCGCGTGCACGTGCGGACCAGCGACTTGGACACGGTGTTCTTCGTGCGCCAGGCGGCCCGCTCCGACTCCGGGGAGTACGAGTTGACCGTGCAGATTGAGAACATGAAGGACACTGCCACCATCCGCATCCGGGTCGTGGGTGCGCAGCGGGGGGGAGGGGCGGAGGGGGCGTGATCCAGGAGGGGAAGGGCGGAGGGGGCAGGAGGGGAGGCGTGAGGGGCGGAGGACGGGTGGGAGGGGGTGAGAGGGAGGAGGTTTGGGGCACCAGGATGGGTGGGCGTCTAAGGGGAGAGGACTGAGGGGCCGTGTGGACAGCGGCCATGGGGCCTCCTTCCAGAGAAAGCAGGGCCCCCGGAGAACGTGCAGGTGAAGGAGGTGTGGGGCACCAACGCGCTGGTGGAGTGGCAGCCCCCCAAGGACAACGGGAACAGCGAGATCACCAGCTACTTCGTCCAGAAAGCAGACAAGAAAACCATGGTGAGAGGACGCAGGGCGGCGAGAGCCGAGCCCAGGGCCCATTCACCAGGGAAGGAGGCGAGAGTGGGGGGGTGGGCAGGGGCTGGGGGGCCCCTCGAGGCTGAGGCTTGATGCAGCTCTTTTTGGGTTGAGATAGACTTCACAGAACACAATTAGGCAGTAACCATTTTACTGACTGGTCCTTTGTGGTGCTGAGGATGGAACCCAGAGACCCCCACCCCTGCCAGGCAAGTGCTGTTCCACCAAGCCATACCCCAGGCCCCAGAGTTCCAGGAGCCCTGGGGGCTTCTAGCACATTTCCAAGGCCTGCAGCCACCACCTCCATCTAGTGTGAAGGCATCTCATGACTCCAAAAGGAGACCCGTCCCCATTGGCAGCCCCCACTTCACCCACCAGTCCCCAGAGGCTGCCCACGTGCTGTCTCTATGGACTCATCATCTGCTCTGGACATTTCACACGTGTGGAATCAGCTTGGGACTTCAGTAGTCTGGGTTCTTCACTGAGCACAGTGTCTTCAGAGTTCACCCTGGTGGCCCTCGTCACTGCTTCTCTCCTTTTTAGGGCTGAATAATATTCTGTTATAGAAGGGATGTCATTTTGCTAATGTCTCCCTTGAAGGCCATGGTGAATAGCGCTGTTGTCAATGACAGGTCTTCTCAACCCTCCCTGACCCTCCTGTGTCTGTGTCCACTTGTGTATGTTCCCATGTCCCCTGTCCCCACACTAGGAGTGGTTCAACATCTATGAGCACAACCGCCACACCAGCTGCACTGTGTCTGACCTCATCGTGGGCAACGAGTACTACTTCCGCGTTTTCAGTGAGAACATCTGTGGCCTCAGTGACTCACCTGGGGTCTCTAAGAACACGGCCTGCATCCTCAAGACAGGTGCTGCCACCCTCTCATGGGGCCCCGTTGCCCCTGGGGCTCTGAGGGAGGGCACCTGGCCACAAGGTGGAGATGGCCAAGTCTGTTCCCTGGCGGGGCTGGGACCGTCTGGACGGGCCATCTTACTGGCATCTCTCTCACCAGGAATCACCTTCAAACCCTTCGAGTACAAGGAACATGACTTCCGGACGCCTCCCATGTTCCTCACACCTCTAATCGACCGGGTGGTTGTGGCTGGATACTCCGCGGCTCTCAACTGTGCTGTCAGAGGCCACCCGAAGGTGGGGGCAGGCTGGCCTGCAGGTGCCCCTGTGTGGGCCTCGTGGGGACTCTCCCACAGCCCAGGCCCATCCACAGCTCTTCCTGTGGGAATCACTCCCTGTGACCCACTTCCTGTTCCCCTCCTCTGGCCAGAGCCCAAGGCAGACAGTCATCTCCCTGCCTCTTCTCTGCCGTGTGACCTCCAGGGGGCAGCTTGTCTGGCAGCCTGAGGAGAGGCCACTTGGTCTCTTGTCCTGCTCAAGGACACACATGGGTGCCTTGGACACAGAAACCTGGTGGGGGGTCTAAATCTGCAAGGAACCCCCGGGGCTTCCCGCTGCTCTCTGGGAAATACGGACCCCTGCAGCCCTGAGCTCCAGGAAGCCGTGCAGACCCGGGGCTGGCCGACTCCAGCTCAGGGGCCAAGGCTGACTGCTGCCTGTTTCTCCCATTAAGTTTTATCGGCCGTGGGCCACATACATCCGTTTGTATTCTGCAGCACAGCAGCAGAGCTGAGCAGTGGTGACAGAGACCTGGGGGCACAAAGCCTGACATAGTTATGATCTGGCCCTTCACAAGGAGACATTCGTCAGCCCCCCTCCAGTCACTCCCTCCGTCGTCCCCTCCCCTGCTCCCACACCCACGGCTCAGCCCTTTCCGCCAGAAGCTGACACGATGCCTCCATTTGCTCCATTTGGTCTTTCGAGGCTTTTTATGTGCTAGACAAATAGGACAAGAAGTTCCTGTCCAAGAAGTTTGGGATCAACAATCAACTGAGAGTTGATCCAAAATCACCCAAATAATATAAAACTACAAAGGGTGACAAGAAATGCAGGCAGTTCTGAGAGAGTAGTGTCCCTGTCCGGCAGGGGTCAGGAAGTGACACGAGCTATGGAGTGAAGGACAAGCAGGTGCTAACCAGAGAGGAGAGGAGGAGGGGCAGTATTGAAGAGGGAATGTCAGTGCGGAGGCCCAGCGGAGCGCATCTGGTCATTTCAGGAACAGCACCAGCCAGTGCCTGGAGGGTGGGGGCAGAGAGTAATGGGGTCAGGTCACGTCAGCCTGTGGGCTGCTATGCTGAGCAGTGGGAAGCCCTCACCACTACCTGTGCAGTGGGGTACAGAAAAGGAGACTGAGGGTCAGAGAATGGAAGTTCAAGGAAACTGGCAAGGAGGTGGCCCAGCAGGATTAGAAACCAAACCCGCCTCCTGAGCCCGCCTGCCATGGCCCAGGGCACGCCCTGAGTTGACCTCTTCTCCCTCCTTGGCAGCCCAAGGTGGTCTGGATGAAGAACAAGATGGAAATCAGGGAAGACCCCAAGTTCCTGATGACCAACCACCAGGGGGTCCTGACGCTGAACATCCGCCGCCCTTCGCCCTTTGACGCGGGGACTTACTCCTGCCGGGCCTTCAATGAGCTGGGGGAGGCACTGGCCGAGTGCAAGCTGGATGTCCGAGGTGAGGAGGGGTCCCCACCCCGGCCGACCCCACCTGACTGGGGCTCTATGCCAAGTGATGCTAGACCTGAGCCGGCCTGGGCCCCGGGGAGGCCCTGGGCGCAGGGCTGGGCCCGGCAGCAAGGGGCAGTGCAGGCAGGGAGGGGCGCCTGCGCACCTGGCCAGAGCTCAGTGAGGTTTCTCCAAAGAGGAGGAGGACAGAGGCGGAGAGGAAGGAGGGCCCAGCGAGTGTCACCAAGGCCTCCAGCAGGCCTGGGCCTATGTGGGGAGAGGCGCTGGGGGCTGAGCGGATGGGATGGCCGTGGAGCCCCTGCCCTGATGTCGTGACAGCCCGTAAGATGCCCCCTGGAGGGACTCAGTACACACAGTGCCTCTTCAACACTCTTCCAACCTCCCCCGCCTGGGGCCTGGAGCCAGTCAGGGCCAGTGCAGAGGACACTACCAGGTCCCCCAGGGCTGTACTCAGTGGTGACCATCCAACAGAGAAGACTCTCACTGCAGCCCTCAGCAGGGGCTCAGAGGGACTTCTCTACACCCAGGCAGCTGCAGCTCCAGACTGTTGCTCTTCTGGGGTCCCCAACATCCAACATTTTTCTGTCCCTTCTAACCAACTGAATCTTTTTAAAAATGGCCTGAGCTCAGGAGTCCTGTAGCTGTCTGTAGCAGAGCAGCCTACTCTGGGGTGGAAATGAGGGACAGTCGCTGGACGGGAACATGTCATGTGGCCACAGCTGGCAAAGGCACCTGGAGATCTAGGCACCTCTCTCATTGTCCCCACAGTTCCGCAGTGAAACCGTCTCCAACCTGTGGAGGTGACAGCCTGACTGCAGCCCGAGCGCTCTGCCTGTGTCCCCTCCTCTACTTACCTCACACAACAAGACAGTGTTGCTTGGACTCTCACGTGTCTTTCCTTGAATCTGCTCCCCTGCCCCCTCCTGTCCCCCAGCTCTCTGGGTGGGTAATGTTGGACTAGCGGCCACCACCATGGGGCTGTCACAGTGAACCATGCCAGCACTGGGGCTGCCGTCTTGCAGCAGGGACTTTAGGGGGCAACCAGAGGCCATGGCTTGTGGTTGGAGCTGTAGAGGTGCAGCCCGTATGCAGGAGCCTGGGCCCAGCTACCAAGAGCCGAGGGAGGCAGGCTGGGCGCAGCTGCAGCTGCAGTAATCGGAAATGAGCCACATCCAGGAGCCACGTGGCAGTGGTGGGCACCGGGTTTTGACAATGGCCCAAGGAGCTGGGTGTGGCTGACCGGAGACCCCGCGAGGCAGCCGTACTCGTGCCCGCTGTGAAGTGCCTGTGGTGGTTAGTTCTTAAGTGGACGATCTTTATTAAGCTTTATAATTCATTTGTTGGCCTGAGGTAAAGTACTCGATCTCGGGGTCTTTTGGTGACCTCGAAGGATGTTGGCAGAATCACAGTCCCCAGAGTTCAGAGGCCTGCGGGTCAAGTCTGACTTCTGTGGCTTGGAGCTGAGTGGGGAGAGTGTCTCTCAGCGCTCTGACCTGCAGGGGTGTCTGCTGGGGGTGGGTGGGCCTCTGGGCAGTGGGGGAGGCAGGGGAACAGGGTGCAGCACCCTCAGGGTCTGGGGGGGCTGCTCCTCGCCTGTCCCGGCCTTTCTGGGAGTGGTCATCTGGCGTGGGAGCCCAGCTCTCCAGGTGCAGGCATCCCTCCCGCCGGACCCATGAGCAAGCTAGAGCCACCTAGCTAGGAGTGGCAGGTCCTGCGGCCCCACCCTGCTGCCTTCTACTCAGACACCCCTAAGGACCAGGAGAGGGTGAGTCACCTGGACTCTCACACCCAGGCGCCCCGCCCCTCACCTCCTCCCCGCCCATCCGCGACTCCTCGTCGTCGTCGTCATCGTCGTCGTCCTCCTCCTCCCCGTCGTCCTCCAGCGCGTACTCCTGTGTGAACGGCACGGCTCCCTCAGCCGAGTGGAAATGCAGGCGGTAGAGCAGCCGCACCCACTGGCCGAACTCACGGTCGCGGGTCTCTGGCGGGGCCCGCAGCTGCAGGTAGAAGGCACGGCCAGTGCGGAACTTGACCTTGAGCTGCCGGCGGCATTCATCGTGGACGAACAGCTGGACGAACTGCAAGGGAAACAGCCTGCGCCGGCGGGCGGGCGACAGGGCGGGCTCAGGCGGCTCTGCTCACCGTCCAGCCCGCCCCCGCTGCGGCCCTCTGCCCGGGAGGCTGGGGTTTTACTTTCATTGCGTGTTGAATTAAGCTCATCCCAACCTCCTTCCGACCTCCCATCCCTTTTGTCTCCACTGGGCCTCTTCCTGAACCCCGGACCCGAACGTGCCTAAGTGACATGCCCGTCTGGACAGTGGATCGACCACGGTCCCACGATGTGTTCAGCAACCATATCCCTGAAGGCCTCCCCTTCTCCAAATCTGCCCCTCTGGGTCTTCACGTCTTGGCTACTTCCCTACACTTGCTCTGGGAGTTGTCCTTAATTCAACTTTTTTTTCCATACCCGTATCTTATCCTGCCACCAAATCCTGATGGCTCCACCTCTAAAACATACCCAAAATCCAACCTCCTCTAACTCACGGCCACCCTAGTCTTCTCATTTCCAGGGCTTTGCCAGGCAGGTTTACAACCAGTTCCCCACGAGGCCGCCAGAGGGCGCCAGTTAACACTTTACCTCCACTCTGCGCCAAAAAGCTCACCTGAAGTCCAAGTTCTCACCACCGACCACAAGACCCTGTGGGATCTGATCTGCTGTTATCTCTGCACCTCCATCCACACCAGCTTTCTCTCTGTCCATAAACACAGCCGGCTCTGACATTCCCCAGGACCTCTGCACAGGCTGTTCCCTCCACCTGAAATCCTCTTTCTCTAGTCATCTCTGTGATTCCCCTATTCATCTCCCTCATCTCTCTCTTGGGCAATCCTTCTCAAGGAAGTCTTTACCACTGAGCATCTACCACTAAGCTACTTTACCACTGAGCTACGGCCCTTTTTATTTTGAGACAGAGTTGAATTTACGATCCTGGCCTACATACAACCACGTCCATCTTCGTACACCTCTCTTGGCCCTCCCCTATCTCCTCACAGACCATATCCTGACCAGCAAATTGCCCTTTATCCTATCTGCCTTGTCAATAGAATGTGAGTGACCTGAGGGCTCTGAGTGACCTGGTCTGGCTTTGTCCAGTGCTGTTTTCCCTGCATCCTGAGCAGATGTTAGCGGGTGCTCAAGGGACACTTGTTACATATGTGAATAAATGAACTGCTCAGGCCCCCAGTTGGACTGAAATTTCAACAAGATGGAGTAGGAAACAGTCACTGGGGGGCTGACAACTTGGCCCAGGCCACACAGCTGAGATTGGGACCAAGTTCTGTGTTCACAACCACAAAACATTCTTAATGACAACTGGGCAGCCACACCCAGCTCTGTTCTGGCAGTGACCTCCAGGAATTGATCTAAGAAGACACCCTCACCCCTGTGCACAGACGTATCCACACAGATGTCCCCTGCCTCGCTGGCTGTAACTCAAAGTCAGTGGACAAAAACCAGTGTCCCGCCGTGGGCAG